ACGTTGTTGCCTACTTTTGAAGCTCTGTTGTTTGTGGAAAGGAAAGGGGCTGCAGCCAGCTGCACAGTGAGTCCAGGGCTTCTTGCTGTGTCTGGAAGCAGTAAGACAGTGGGTGGAAGGCACTGGTGTTTGGAGAAGCCCCAGACAAACCTGTTTTATCCAAGGGTCCAACCTCAAATTTATCCAAGCCTGTTTGAGGGTGGACCATTCTTCAGAGCCTGGCATGTGGGCCTCAATTGTATGTGTGCCAAGAATCCATCTGTGGCCTGAGGTGACTCTGAAGTAGTGATTTGCTGGTTAGGTTTCATCATGGTATTTTAAATTTAGATCCATGTGGAAGCAGCTATTTTAGCAGTGATTTTTCCAGGTGTGTAATGGCATGGGCAGACACAGGAGGGGAGATGGGCTCTAAGCCTTATTTGTGTTATCAGCTTGTAAGATGTTGCATTGTGGTGGTTCAGAAAAGTATCAATCAGATTTTGACAGTATCTAGTCATGATACTGTGTCTTACAAACTTTATTGCCCTGTAGCAAAGTGTGGGTATAGGTCAGTGAGAATGGAACTGAACCAGGAGTTGTGGTCTGTCCTGATTGCTTGCAAGAAATCATTGCTCTGAAAAAAAAACCCCACAAAAGAGCCACACCAAGCCAAAACCTGGGAAAAACAGAAATCTAGATTTGTTAGGAGTATCTAAAATTTGTCATGAAGTAAACATGTCTCAGAGAGCATCTGATGACCCGAGATACTGACAGAGCTGTGACTTTGCTGTGATCTCTGCTCAGTACTGGGAACATCTGAAGCAGTGGGCAGTCATGCTGGCCACTGATGATACACAGGCTTTTGGCTGTAAATCTGCATGAATCAGCAAAGTGTTGCACAATTAGTGCTCTTTTTTTCACTCTAGAGCTGTTCTACCAGTTGTAGCTGTTATCCAAATGCACCAGGATCTTGAATGTGAGTTACCCTGAATGGCTGTGAGGTGATGGCATCTCACTTTTGTGGGATGGAAACTGGAATATAGACTTGGAAAGAAACTCATTCACAGGGGCTGCAGTTAACCCTGTGAACCTCTTTCCCACCTAGTCTTTGGGGAGAGTTGACCTTGCTATTAGGAGTCTGGAGCTGTTCAATCACATCCCAGTTCCACAGCTCCCCTGGAGGAGCCTGGCAGGGAAGGCAGGGCTGTCCTGTCAGGGTGCTGGGGTGCAAGAACACTGTTTTTTTCAGGACTTCATGTGATCAAAACAGGGGTTCACACAATACAGCAGGAGCCACATTCTGGCCTGATTCCCCATAATGAGCAATGATAAGGGGTGTGGCTCATTCCTTAAATTACGTGGACTGATCTTATATTGGTTCACTTAGTTTAATTCTTCTGCATGAAAAGACTGAGTTTGGAGCCTGGATAGGGACTCTCATTTGCTAGGCCCTGAGTTTAGTTAAGCTGACAGGCAACTGAAGGCTTTCTTCTGACTTGTTTTGTTGTTCTGAGCACACCCTTGTCTGGGAATGAAAACTGACACGGGGAAAGACTGATCAACCATGAGATGGTGCAGCTCACATCTTCAGTTACCTATTGTGTGTGCTTCTACTTTTACTTTTTTTTAAAAAAAAAAAAAGTTGTCATATGCACATCAGTCCCCTTATTGTGCCCGTTGAGTGGTACTTGTTGGAACTCCTGTAGAGTGAAGGGGGGGAGAGGGGTTTATGCTTTTAGTCCCTGTAGTTTCAGAATATTGTGAGTAGATTTGCTGGCTCCTGTCTAAAGAAAGGCTCTGAGGGTCATGAACCTGTTCTGTGGTTGACAAAAGAGAGTGCAGCCCATCATTTTGATTAGAAGTGGGAACTCTGAAGGGACTGGGATGAATAATAGGTATTTGTTTCCTCTTCTAACCAGAAAAAAGTCCTCTCTTTGGCTTGTGTGGGAGCTGGCTGGAATCCCTCCTGACTGGATATGAAATTCAGAGTGGCTGGGAAACTGATAACCCTGGTAGATGTGCAAGTAGCTTCTACAAGTCAGGTCCATGTTTTTGTATCTTTTATATTAAGAGTTTTTAGAAAGCTTATTGAATAAATCAATAAGCAGGAAAATTGTGCAGAAAAATTCCATCCCAGTCTATTGTGTCTAGAACAACCCTTTTGCCTTCTGCCTGTACTCTGAGAAGTCTGACAGCTCTCTTTCCAGTGGGAGCAATGATTCATTGAGGCCTTGCACTCCTAAAGGAGTATTTGTACAGTATCCATTTGGTTTGCTGGCTGGGCACATAGAAGGGAGGGGAAGAAGCAAAGCATGAAGTATCTGTTACTGTATGCAGAGAAGTTTAGCTCAATCAGTGTTGCTGAGACAGGATCTCCCTACAGTGAGAGCAGCCCCTGGGGACAGGCAGTGGTGTTGGTGCTCATCCCTGAGGAACATACAGGATCCCTGTGCTGACAGGACATACCCTGACCAGCCAGGGCTCACAGCCCTAGCTTAGGGCATCTCAGGAGTAGGCCTGTCACTCTTCTCACTTAAAAGGAGATCTTAAACTCACCTGTCCAGCATGTTTGCCATTTGAAGAGGCTGTGAAAAAAAAGCCAGGAACATAGGTGGCATTTTTCCTACACAGACTTCTTATCTGGCATTTCTCTGCAACTAAATGCTTTCATTTTCTGCTTGAATAAAACTCATTATAGATGTTTGCCACAATTCAGTTATTGAGGTAGGAGGTGGTTATGTCCCTCCTGCCTCTCTCAGCCTCTCTGGTAGCAGATGGTTTAGCTGCTCTGGGTGAGTGTGTATACGTGTGCGCGTGCACACGTGCTCATGCTCTCCAAGAATGTGGTTTTAACATTATGTTCAGCCTCCTGTAATTCATTATTTGTGCTGATTTTCCCAGTAACAGCTGTGAAAAGAATGTGTACAAACAATTTGAAAACCCTGCAGCCAGGTGTCCTGCTTGTTCAAGCAAGAGCTGACTTCTCTGTTAGCTGAGGTTTCTGTTTATTGACTCAAGTAAAACTGAGTAGGATGGCAAAGCTGTTAAAGATCTGCTACAGAGACAAGCTGCAGTAAATGTTCTTCTTGGCAGATATCCTCAGCATGACAGAACATGGTGGGGAGGTGCAGGACAGAGTGTGGAGTTGTGTTTGAACTGGAAAATTCCCTTGTAATTGTTTTGCCAGGCTTTGTGCAGGGGATCCAAAAAACCACTCCATGAAACGTTGACAGACAATACAGATGGACAGTTATGGCTTAATATATCCAAATTAATGTACTTCCCAAGTGCTCTTGACTTGCTGTGCTTTCTGCTACATCACTTATGGTGGCTTTTAGTGTTGGCAGACCTCTGCATGGTACTATTCATTCAGCTTTACTTAATTCTCAGATTACCCATGTTCTAGTTCTGAACTAACTTAAACAAGCAGTTTGGGAATATGTGGTTTGCAGGGGGGTGAGAAACAGGAGAGGGAAAGGACAAGACTAATTATGATGCTGTGAGACATTTTCCTGCTTACTCATGCTTGCAGACTGTTGTGGTAAATGTTTCTGATTCCTCATGTAGCCTTTCAAAGAAATCAAAAGAATAATTTAAAAACAATAATCTTGCCATGTGATAATCCATAGCAGAGAATGGAGCTGCTTCTGATGTTCTCAGTGCTGGTGGTATCACTGATGGTGCGTTTGTTGTGTCCGTGGCACTGGGGAGCTCAGCTGAGGGTGAGGGCTTCTGTCATGCTGTGGTCTGAAACTCAGAAGGAAACCACTTCTACCTTCTGTGAAGCCAAGGGGAACAATGAGCTAGAATTGTTCTAGAATTACTTTAATACCTTCCCACCTGTTGTGTTGCTTGAAATTGTAGGATATGACATGTATTTTCCCTTCTCCCTTCCATCCCCCTTTCTCATCAGAGTTAGGTGACTCCATTTTGCCCCAGGTAGCTGCATGTGTTTGGAGTAAAAGTGTGTTGCAAGTGTTTATTTCCAGCCACCAGTGGGCAGGAAATAAGTGTAATTGCTTTTTGATTTAAGGTGAACAGTTATCCTCTTCCTTTTGACACCCTGTGCAGGGGTGTTGGGAGAGCTCAGTGCTGATCCATGGGCTGGCTGTGATGGCTGCTCCTCTCCATGCACAGGCAGCTCCAGAGTGACCTGTGGGCTGATCCAGCTGCAGGGCAGGCTCCTCAGAAGTCCCCAGATCTACCAGGAGAATTACAGCTCCCAGGAGGCTCTTCTGGATGGACCTTGCATCCCTGGTTTCACCTGTCTCCTGACCTTCTCTATCTGCTCAGACTGGCTTTCCCTTCCAGCCTGTCTGGGGGCTGTGTTCTTAGAAATGTGATAGTCAGCTCTCAGTCTCCACCTCGAGGGGCTGGATTTCTAAGCTGGCACAGCCTTTGAAACACACAAGTCATCAGAGCTGTGCCCAGAGGCCAAGGTGCTGGCATGATGCATCTTGAATAAGCAGAGCTGGAAATTTCACTTTCAGCTTTTCCGCCCATCACTGCCACTTCCACACTACAGGATGCTTTATTTCTCTCTTTGGCTTTCTCACTGTTTGTCTTTCTAGACAGTTTTATGTAACAGTTTCACAGCATGCTACAAGTCTGACTGTTTAATTTAGACTTCTGTTATTACTGGAATAGAATATGACTTTGTATACTCTGCCATTTTCCAGCTATTATGCAGAACGTGGAAGGCACTGAGCTTACAGAGGATCCTGTTCTCACTGTATCTTGGACAAATGTCTTGCTTCCATTACTTCTGTCATGTGGGCCTTCCATGGGCTCAGGGTCCCCCATGCAAACCCCAAGGAGTATTCCAGATAGCAATTAAGACTGCTAAGTAGCAACTTCTGTGGTTAAAGGTGACTTTTTTTCAAGCTTTACTGATCAGAATTCAGTCTTCTAAGAATCTAAAAAAATATTCATAAAAGTGAAATGGCTGCAGATTAATGCCTTGGTGTTTTTTTCTCACAAATAAGTTAATTTTTACTCCTTGTTTTCCTTTTAGTTTGTTCCAGGTTTGAGCTATCTGGAAGATGAAGCTCTGGATGCAGTTGGTGCTCTCTACCTGGTTTCTCCTGATCTGGCACACAGAAGCTGAGTTCTTCACTTCCATAGGTATGGAAAGAACCCATGCATGATGTTGTGGTTGCCAGAGCTGTTACATGTTACAGGCTTTCTACATATGGCCCCATCAAGCACTGTCCACATTAGGAAAAGCCACTCTTCTCCCTCCTTGATGCTGTCCTGCATTGCAAGTCTTGCATCAGTGCAGTTTGTTTGCACTTGGGTAACTTAACACGTTGTGACCAACATGATACAAGTTTCTCTGGGGACCCTTAGTAAAATCAGGTGGTTTCTGTGTGTTAAGAATTGTGCACCTGTGGTGATCTTGAACACAGCACAAACCTGATGCTAAAAAGCTTAGTCCTGAGTTTGATTTGTGAAAGGAATTTAAGTGATAAAGGTATGAAGTATTTTCTTTCACAGAAAATCTGTCTTCTCAAAAGGTTTGAGTTAGGTGTTGGAAAGAAGAACTAATGTCCTCTAATATCCTCCTTAGCTTGTGTGTTTTGTAAGACCTGAGTAAATCCTGAAGAAATCACCTTATTATAAATCCTGAAAATAGATTAATTTTTATGACAGTTTGGTTCCTGTGATCTAATAACTGTGATACAACCATGTATGATTGTGGTAACCCTAAAAATAAGCATAAATTGAGTTTTCTGCTGTGACTTGGTTTAAAATTTTCCAGTGGAATAGTGTGGGGAATTTACTCCCAAAGGATAACAGAGGTTGATTAACTACAGCTGGCTGCTCTCCACAATATGCTTTGAACTCAGTGGAGGAAGGTTTCTGAGTCGTAAAACTCAAAACCTCCTGGGGGTTTATTTTGCACCACTGTGAGGAACTGCTCAGTTGGAACCAGGCAGAGTGGGCTCTCCCTGCCAACAGGTGCTCCTGTGCTCTGCAGTTGGCTAAACAGTTATTTAATTACATGGGTGTTATTTGGTTGTTTGTTTTTTTTTCCCAAGAAGCTTTTGCACAGAGCTGCTGTGCAGGATCACCTTGTCTACACACCTACCTATTCCTGAACCTTTCCAGACTCTGGAAATAGCACAGCATGCTGACTTCCATCTGCTTAATCATGCTTCATTAAGAATTACTTGGGAATGCTGAGACTAAAGCTGGGGCAGTGTTTTTAAATCCCATCCGGTCTTTGTGTTTGTTCTTTGAAAAGCAAAGTTTGTCCCAGTGATTGGGAGTGACATGCTAGCACTTTCCACTAATGCTGATCAGGAGAGAGTGAGTGTCTCAGTCTATAAACATTAGTCTGAAATTCCTCTGTACTTAATGTTGTGTTTCCACAGTTACCCATATTGAAAAGCTGTAATTTTAAGTGATGCCAGTAGTTAGAGTAATAATTTATTGGTGTGACCTAATCTGTATCCATATGTAGAACACATGCTCTAGCAGCTATTTGGATCTTTCCTTGCTTTGACTTAAAAGCTGTATTAATGTCAAACCTTTCTTCTGATTGTCTTGCATGCAGTTCTAATACTAAAAGTAATTCAGAGGCAGGGGAAGGGTCACAGCACAGCTCCATGAGCCATTGAAGTTGGGATTTTAAAAGCCCCTTGAAGCATTTGAATGCCAGACCTGTGTGTATGTGTAATAGCTTTTGTGGTTTATGGGCACTGAAGTGTACACCCTTAATTTGTTGATTCTTTGTGGTGGTTTTAATAGCCCTAGAGCATCCAGGATGTCTTCTCTGCTGTTGGAAATGGTTGCTTTTAAAGGTCTTATTAACATTTGCTCATACTCTGTTTCTAGGTCAAATGACAGACCTGATTTATGCAGAGAAAGACTTGGTGCAGTCTTTAAAGGAATATATCCGAGCAGAAGAGAACAAACTTGCTCAGATTAAAAGGTAGGGGGAGAGGTTTGCATAGTGAAATGGCTCATCTGTGCTCAGTTACACCACACCTTTCTGTCACCTCTCTGCTGCTACACCTTGTTAGTATTTCCTCTAGATAATCACAATGAGACTATAGGTGATAACTTGGTTGCAATTTATTCCCATAAGCCTGCAGAGAGATGGCCCTGCTTCAGGTGCTGTTCAGGCTTTGCTTGTTGAGAAGCTATTGTCTGCTGGGCTCTCCCCACCTTCCCTGTCCTTGCACCACCCCAGGGCTCTGTGCTCCCTGTTGTTCAGGGCAGCACACCAAACCCCCTGCTGCCTTCCCCTGTTGGCTCTGCTCTCAGGGACAGCCCTCCTGCCTGTTCTCTTCCGTCAGCAATCTGGCTACAACATGTCTCAGATGTTGTCCTGATTGCTTAGAGCATTTGAAAGGGTTGTGCTGGCAGCTGATACCTTCTGTGTCCCTTAGGAAGGCTGTTAATACTTACCTAGCTGAAAGTAATACCTACTAGGGTGTGACACTGGAATAGTCTAAATGAAGTCCAGGTTCAGAAGGGCTGAGTGCCTGTCAGTGGAGCCAATCTTGCCAAGTTTTGCTGAACTCCAGGCTGTAGGTGGCAATTCGATCTCCCTTTGGGGGTGTAGGGTGGGGACAGGGCTCTGAAACAGTGAAACAACCTGAACTCCTTGTCACCTCTGTATACAAATGTTCATTTCTTGAAAAGCTGCCCTTCTGAGGAAAAGCAGTTGACTATTGTTACAGAGAATGTCAGTTCAATACATGTCGTAACTGGTCTTTTCTTAGTCTTTCTTCATAGGCTGACCTGTGCAAGGGCTTTTATAATGTGTTACATTTTCAGCTGACTCCTGTGTTGGTGTGTTTGTAAGCAAGAGTATTCTACCCCGTGTCAATATTTCAGCCCTAAAGCCCTGCTAGTGTGCAAGGCAGGTGGTTTGTAACTGAGGTGCTAAATTTGTGTCATTTGAATATGGTAACACACTTCAGTGTTTGTCTGTTGGTTCCACAGATACGTCTGTGATTCAAAAGCAGATTGTCAGGTGCATGAAGAGACTGGATCTTGGCAGTGTTTACTACTTAGGAAGATAAACATTAGAAGTAGTTTTCAATTAAAAAGGGAGTGCAAGTGAAACTGGTTTTAATGTGATGTTAGTCTGATATCCCTGCAAAGGATCTCTAGAAAAACATCTCTTCTGTTGCAACAACATCTTAGCATGGAGAAGATGCCAGGTGGTCTGGGAATATTTACCTGTGTGAAGCTGTTTGTAACCATAGTTCATCCATGGCTTTCAGAGACTGCAGGTTCAAAGGGGGCTTCTTATTTTCAGTGATTAGCTCATCTGAACAGAGTGTTTCCTTCCTGTAGAGGACTGGAGAGGAGCACAGAGCTGGGCGAGGGGTTTGTGTTAAGGGATGAGATGAAGGGTAACAGAAGAAATTCTCACTGCAGCATCAGCAGAGCAGTAGGCAGTTGAGATGTTCTATAATGCAGAGGATGAAGTTTCCCACTTCTGCTTTGAAGCTGACCAGCAGTGCAGCCTAGGGGACTGACAGCACTGCCACCTTGGTGTCTGGGAGTTTCCAGTCACACAGGCACAGAATTGCAGTCGGAAAATCAAAGCTTATGGTTTCATTTCAATAAATCTAGAAAGCTCTTGGGTTGTATTTATGTTTGTATTATTTTTACTAAGAGATAGATAAATGACACTGTGATTGTGTGGAATATATAATTATTTTCTGAAGTGCAGCATGCTGGAAATTAGTGGCCAAGACTCATGACAAGTGAGATACTCACTGATCGTAGTAAGGTTTAAAATAGTAAGTAGGGAAACAAATTCTTTTTAAAATAAAAAGACTATTTTAATTTAAAAAGTCAGTTGTACTTCACTTTATCCTTGCAAAGCCAAAAACTTGAAAGCTGGTTATGATGGAGAAAACAGCAATCAATTGATTCTTGCTGTGAAATTAGGATGACTTAAGAAGGAAGATGTGCATTCATGAATTGTTCCCAGACTGAGGCTTATGCTTCCCATTCCAGCTGGGCTGAAAAGATGGATGTACTGACTAGCAAATCCACCTCTGATCCAGAAGGGTACCTGGCACATCCTGTAAATGCTTATAAGCTGGTGAAGCGTTTAAATACTGACTGGCTGGAATTGGAAAACCTGGTTCTTCAGGATACAACAAGTGGTAAGGAGTTACAGGGGAGAAGATATCAGGGGTAGCCTTATAGTTGCATGTCCTCTTTGTGTTCTGGAAAGCTGCAAACACAGCTGTGGTTTAAATATTACAGCCAAGTTTGTTTGGAACTTAAACTAATACCTGGCTTCTTGTCTGTGTTACCCAAGTGAGAGAAACCTGCCACTGGAGCACAGCTCAGTCCAGACTCAAAGGAACTGGTACCTGTCTCAGACCTGTGCTGTTCTGTTTGGCATGTGCTGTCTGGTGCAAAAGGGAGAACAGGATCTCCTGAAGCTGTCAGCTGTGTTGGCAACTATTGTTTTATGTCAAGTCTTTAGCTTTCTGTTCCTATGCATAAAAACTTACTCATCAGCTTCCCCAGCCTACTGCTTCTCTTGGCAGTCAGCATTTTTTGACCATGTTGACCAGTAGAGAAGCTTGAAAAATCAAAAGGAGACTCATTCTGAACTGGTGAAGGAATTCCTATCAGCCCCAGCACCAACAGTTGGCAGACAGAATCAGTCTGATAACAGGGTAATGCACAGTTGCTGTCTGTAAACCCAGCCTCCTAAATCAAGATTTTTCAGTACTGATCTTTGCTTTTGCATCATATTGTCAAAGCATCTGCCTGAATGTTCTTCTGTTGCTTTTGACATGCAGATTTATTTTCACTGGACTCCTTGAAAGTGAGGGAGCAGAGGCTGTGCTTTTCAGGCAGAACACTGCATGTTTTCCCATTCTACTCTGCATATGCTGAAGTTTAGATACTTGGAAGTGTTTCCCAGCCAAGATTTTTATTGCCTTTTGGAATAGTCATCCTAGATGGAAATAAAATATTCAATTCTATTGCGTACTTCTGTCATTAATGATTTTTCTACAGACTCCTTTTCCCAGGTCTGCTTGCATGACTGGAAAGGACTGGGTGGCTTTCCTTCAGTTGATTGTCCCTGCTCCTGCCCAAGCTGCTGTACAGCCTTGAAATGCAGGGCATTTAATTCTATTTCTAAATATCCCCTGGTTTTACTTGTCAGGTTTAAAAGCCTCCTACTGAGTAAGGTCCTACCCCTACTTAGGGGACCCTGGATCATGGTCTCTGTCCATTGAGCTGAGATTTGAAAAGCTCTTGGGGCTTCACAGGCTGGAGTACAGAGTCTGGACTCATTGCCCAGTGCTCTGATCTGCAGGTGTCTCTGGGTATGGCAGGAGAACTGATGAAAGCTATCAGGTTTTCATGCTGGAAGGAAACATTGCAGGAGATCATTAGATTCACACTGTACTTTAGTGATTGTGCTCCACAAGAAAATTGAGGGGTTTAGGTATTTACCCTTTATCTCTTGCTTGTGAGCTGTAATTCTTAATGGGACAGAAACCAGGGCTTTTAACTTTAAAGCCTATTAAGAGGCTTTAAACCTGGATAATATGAATTTCAATTCCCCAAACAAAGCAGATGTTTTCTCTCCTGTGTTAATCTGGTCCTGATGCTCATGCAGACTCTGGAAGTAACCTCTTTCCCCTTCTCCTGCCAAGGCTTCGTCGCGAACCTCTCGCTGCAGCGTCAGTTCTTTCCCACGGAGGAAGATGAGACGGGAGCTGCCAAGGCCCTGATGCGCCTGCAGGACACGTACAGGCTGGATCCTGAAACTCTCTCTCGAGGAAACTTGCCAGGTAAGTGTGCAAAGGTCTGCTCTGCTTCAAAAGGAGGGAACTCAAAGCTCTCTCCAAAGTCCTTTTGCAGTAGTGAGGAAGAGCCGTGGTGCTGCGAGTCCATCTGGCTTGAGACGTTTGAGGATCTGTGGAGTTCAGCACTTGGAGAACTTGGGTAGTTCCCACCAGAGCCCAAGGAGCCATGGTCTGCAGTGACCACCTCAAGTGTCATGTTTTTAATTAGCATTATTTTTAAATGCTGATTTTTACGACTATACCAAAACAACAAAGGACAACAAACTTTCTTGTGCTGGTTACTGTGTAAGCAAATACTTTGATACTTCCCATCCCAAATAACTTACAAACCAAGGGAAGGAGCTGCTGCTCCTTGGTTCATTGCACTGATGGCTCTGACAGAGCTTGTCTCTGCTCTTGTTTGCTGTGGTCTTCCAGTGAGGTGTTGGTTGAATCACTTTGCTGCTGTTCTTTCTGTGAAGTGGGGGTTAACAGGTCTTGCCACAGGGAGATGTTTTGGGAAGTACACAGATATCTTGAGATATATTTTGGCAGCTGAGTCCTGATAAATGTTTGCTGCTGCTTATGAGAGACTGAAACAGGTTATGATTCCTGTTAACACTCTTTTTACAAAATGAATAGACTTTCATTAGTGTGTGGGTTGATGAAACAGTTTTAGTAATTTCAGTTCACTGTTAATAACCTACATAAAAGTTTTATCTGTGCATCTGCTGATCTGGAGCAACCAGAAATTAGTGCACAGTTACATTAAAATGGATTGCTAGTTTGTCTGAATAGCCATCAGCTTATTTCTGCATATATCTGCATCTCCAGTAAGGAGGAAACAAGCTAGCTCTGCATGTAGTCAGGCTTTGATGGTCACCTAACAGTGTTAATTTGTAGTTTCAGTAAAATCTGTTAAGCTGTTAGTCTGCTCTTTCTTTGCCTACAACAGAAAATGCAACAGCTTAACACTGATTTATATTAAACTTATCTTGGCTTCCAAAAGGATTAATGTCAAGGAATTAGCATGGAATTTTAAGATCTTTAATTCTGAAGGTGATTGCTGTAGTTCAGAGCCTAAAAATATTGACAATGCATTGTCTTTTAGAAGCCTTTTTGGGTAATAGAAATGTGCATTTCTCAATGTGCCTTGTGTATTTGAAGGCAAAGATGCTTCTGTGTGGACTGCTGAAAGCCATCTCTTTGTTTTTAGGAACAAAGTACAAGTCCTCTCTGACAGTAGGGGACTGCTTTGGCATGGGGAAGACTGCTTACAACGATGGAGACTACTATCACACAGTGCTCTGGATGGAGCAAGCCTTAAAACAGCATGATGAGGGGGAGGATACAACAGTCAGCAAAGTGGAGATCCTGGATTATCTCAGCTATGCTGTTTTCCAGTTTGGGGATTTACACAGAGCCATGGAGCTTACCAGGAGGCTGATATCCCTTGGTAAGAACAATAGACCTGCTGTGCTAGCACTGGGGAGTGTTACCAGCACCAGAGCCAAGAACAGTCCTGGCCCATACACATGGGTGAGCTGACTGGAAGGACAGCCTGTCAGATGGCTCAGGGTAAACACAGACCCTGTGACACAAAACAGTCTACTTACACATCAGGTATCTTGAACAATATGTTACAGTCCAGGCTGTTACTACCCCAAGAGCAAACATGTGTCTGACTGCAGTACCTGTGTGCTTTGCTCAGAGTACTGAGATGTGTTGGTGATGGTTGAAGCCTGGTTTGTCTCCAGTGGAGATCAAGGTACCATGGACTTAGTTTGTTGTGTCTTCTGTAAAGTCCTACTGGCTTCACACAGAATCATGGAAGGGACCTCAAGGATCATCTGGTCCAACCTTTGTAGGTACCACTAGAGTTCATATGAGATGGCTACATATTCCCCTTCACTCCTCAGTCAGATACTCTGTGATGCCAGAAGAGTATTTTGCCTGAGATTCTTAACATTAAGATTCTAAATATTTCTGAATATTCAGAACAAATAGTGTTTCTTTAAACTTCTTTATTCTGTTCCTGACTTTCTCTTGAGTAAGCAAATAAGTATTGCTTCCTATCCAGCTTCACCTGCTTCCTGCATTGGGAAGGTTTGTCCTCTCCAGTCACAGTAACATCTACTGTGTTATGTATTTGTGTGTCATTATTATATTATTATTAATCACCTGTGGTTCTTAGTTCAGGTGTCAGCCACATCCTGAGCAGGGGTGAAGCCTGGCTATTGAAGAATGTTTATCAGTCTAATTTCTGCAGACATTGGAATTCACAGACAAAAGTGTACCAGAATATGAACATGTATTGAATCTTTGCTCCCTCTGCACTAGGGTTTAGCACTGACAGCAGAATGCAAACCCTTATCAGCACCAAACAGTGGGACAGAGTTGGCAGTTCCCTCTGGAAGCAGCAGCTTCCTTTGCTCTGGGCTCAGCCTCCTTCTCTGGCCACTCAGCCCATGTTCCCACATGTGGTTACTTCAGTGGCCTTCTGGGTTAGTTCCATAAGATAAATACAATAAGCTTGGAAGGGCCAAAAGGGAAAGAAACAGTTGTAGGTGCTGGTGTCCAGAAACACTCAGCACTGAAACACTAAGTTCCTTCTTAGTGATTTACTGGTGTTTATTGAGTCATACTGAAATCACTAGTAAATTACTAATAACAGAGCTGGTGGTGCTAGTGATCCAGGATGCCTCCTGTCTAACCCTGTTTCAGAGCTCTGGAGATGGGTGCTGTGGGTGGGCTGGTTCAGTGGTGTTCCATACCTCTGAGCTTCCCAATGTGGGGAATGTCTTTGGGGTTGAAGTCTGGCTGGGACTCCAGCACAGTGCTGGGTTTAAGCAGGTTTGTGGATGGGGTGGAGAGGAGGGGTACAACAAGCAGAATAGCTTGATCTCTGCTGATGAGCTCTCTTGTCTGCTTAGCTTGGGTAGAACTGGGCAGGCAAGTGGAAAGAAGAGGAGGGATGCAAAAGACCAAAATCTCCTATCATTTTTTTTCTGGGAATTCAAGTTTTGTGATAGTTCCTTCCTGAAAAGACTGTTTTGCAGAGAATGCCAACCTTCCTGCTGCAATGACAAACTGCCCAGTGCTGCTTTTCAGCGCAGGCTGAAGCCAGTGCCTTTGGTTGCCTCATCATGCTTTGAGAAGGGGAGAGTTTCTGCTGTCTGAATACATAGAGTTGTTTGTATGAACAGTTCCTGAGATTGCATGAATCACTGGTTGTGTCTGGTTTTCTCCCAATGAAGACAGTACCCACGAGAGAGCAGGCAGTAACCTGCGGTACTTTGAGAAGCTGCTGGAGAAGGAGAGAGAGGAGAAGGAGAAAGATAAGTCAATAAACAAGACCACAACGACAGAACCAGTGGTGCAGAGTGGTACCTATGAGAGGCCTCTTGACTACTTGCCAGAGCGTGATATCTACGAGGCCCTTTGCAGAGGTGAAGGTGTAAAAATGGTGAGAGGCAATTTTCTGACTCTGCTGCCTTTGTGTAAGGGTGACCAAGCTTCCTGGGCATGTTAGACTTTTCTGTGAAGCAAGGTCTTTCTTTTAAAAGAAGAAATCTAGTTCTGTCTGGGCTGAGTTTTGTACCTGATGTCTGAGCCTCTTGCTGTGAATCCCAGCCAGAAAGCCAGAACTCAACTGTATGTCCTAAAGGCTGTTGAAAATTCGTTCTCCTCAGTGTGTCTGCTCAAGCATTTCAAATGCTGCCTCTACAGATGCACTAGGAGGCTTTTTCTGTTGAGAGCTGGTCATGCTTTGCCACACTTATGGAATCACATTTCTCCTTCCCTTTACATCTTCAAGACATGTCATTCTGGGGTGACTATTTTGACTGACCAGTTGCCAGTACCTCACAACAAATGTGGCTTAAATGCTCAGTGCAGGGAAGAGAATCCGTTTACTCCATCTGCATAGTCTTAATTATAAGAACCAGACTTTTTTTCACAGCTTGCTGTTTGTGAAGTTGTTTTGCTGAATCTGTAACCTATTATGATTTAATTCTCCTGAAGGTTAGTGTTTCAGATGCTGCTCAGTGGTATCTTGAGTGGCAAACCTTGGTGTAGCTGCAGAAAATGGCAGAATCACTCATGCTTACCTCTTAGATTTACCAGTCAGCTGATGGCTTTTCCAGCATTGGTGGAATGAAGCTCCTTTCCTTGTTTGTCTTGCCTATTTTAAGTTCATGAAAAGCAGCTGAGCAACCAATGTTTTGCTTGGCATTTTTTTCAGACTCCTCGAAGACAGAAAAGGCTGTTTTGTAGGTACCACGATGGAAACAGAAACCCTCATCTGCTCATAGCTCCCTTTAAGGAGGAGGATGAGTGGGATAGCCCTCATATTGTACGATACTATGATGTCATGTCTGATGAAGAAATTGAGAAAATTAAACAACTAGCTAAGCCAAAGGTAAGTTTCCCCACTTCCATCTCACTAATGACTGCTAAGTCCGTGCTTTAATCTCTGCTGGCAAAGCTTAGGCAAAGGATTTGAAAGATCTGGTTTCATACTACAGATGATACACTGCAGCTGTGAGCCTAAAAGGAACCATTTCGAAACTGCCTGGTGATGTAGGACCATAAAGCCCAGGTTCCTGAAGGTATTTATGCCTTGTTGCACTTAATTATGCAAAGTTCTCAGTTGGAAACCTTTAAAGGAAGCTAGGGACAAGACCTGAAAGGGTAGCTGGCTGGCTTACAGTGAGAGGAGCAGGTGTTCCCCTGTGCCTTAAGTCTGCCTTCTGCAATGGGGTTGAACTTCAAACCAAGATTTAAACAGCCTAAATCCCAACAGGAGTGGGAACCCTACTCCTGCTGCAGTATCTGTTCCCTATGGCGTGAATTCTAGTGACTCTGCACACAATAAAAAAGCAGCTATGTAATGCCAAGCTAATAATTACCTCGTTTGATTTTTCTGGAGGTGGAATTTCCTGTTTCCTTTCTGACCAAAGTATGGCAGTATGAGGTCAGTAGTAGATGCTACGTGTTACTTTTCTGTCAGGTCTGACAAGAGTGTAGAATGAAACATCTGTATAGACCAGTGGTTTGTTTTAGCATTGCTACTCCTGTGAAATGCACAAAAATTCCATTCAAGAATTCACCTTCTGTATGTGTCTTGAAAGGTAAATATAAATAGTTAGTTAGAAACAGACTGAGAAACTGATGCTTCCTAAGAACATGAATAATTTGGGGTGTTTGTGAAGCTGGACTTCTGTGACTACCAGCCAGGCATGGGAGTGTTGGCAGAACACTCCTGTCTCCCTGAGGACTCTCACCTCCATAAATGGAGACTTTTTCCTCTTACATCATACTAGAAAACTTCAAGAGCTTTGGATGAAAAGAAAGCCTTCAAATAGAGTGTATCACTTAATCTGTTATCAGATTAAGCACATTGTAAATAAGGCAGCTGTTGATGGTTTTTTTTGGTTTTCCCTTTTATTTAAAGTTGATCATGATGTTCAAAGTTTTATGGAAAGCCCAAAGCCTTGCTCACAGAGTCTTATGTTACTAATGCCAGGAATTCTTCATAAATCTATGTAATGTAGAACTGGGGTCAGTTCCTGTAAGAGCAGGTAAACAGTGTAGTCTTAAGATTGAGATGAAAGTTTTCAGTTAAAACAAAAAGCATTTTCTTATTACTGACTTTTTTCTAAACCTGTCTGTAGCTCAGCTGCAGGAATAGCTTGAAATTCTGCAGTAAGAATGGAAAATGCAAGTCCTGTGATGAGATGGACCTTAATAAATATAGCTTCATTTCAGCCAGGAAATTTTATTAATCATGGAAGCTTTCAGACAGAACTCTGAAGTAGTATGTTAGTTTTGGGCTCAGAAGGATGAGCCCTTCCTTTGTTCTAAAATGCATTTGCAAGAAATTTCTGCTTTTGGATCCAAGCACTATATCATTATCTGCAGTTTCCACTTGCCAGTATTTTTTGTTTTGTGCAGAAACAACATCTGGACGTGATTGAGGGTAGCTGTGTTCAAGTTTTCATGCTTGTTTTGCAAAATGCAATCACTTCTACTTCGTTTCCAAGTAGTCCCAACTTCTCAGGCAATACACCAGAGCTGACAGGGAAGGGTCAAGAGAATTCTTAACTTTCTTGGTGTGGGCAGCATTAGGACAGGTCTGCCATGGAAGTATGAGAACCTTTTCCCAAAGTTCTGGATGCTACCAGCAATCCAGGCATGCCTGAGCAGGCAAAAATACAGTGTGGATGGGAACACTGGAACGTTGCTGTAGGACTCAGTGCTGTAGGATTTCAGCAATACAGAATTTCAGAAGGAAAAGTCAATGGAGTGCCTGCTAAACTGAACACAGGCTCTTGGGAAGGCTGGATGAAGCTTGTGACCAATCCAGTGTGTTATGATGGTTCTTCAAAGCCCAGCAAATACCTGTTATAAAGCTGCTTTCTCCACCCTGAGAGAGGAAGGCCCGGGTTTATCAGTTGGCTGAACCAAGTGAGGTACAGAGTGTGTCTTGCAGGAAGGAACCTGCCTGTCAGAAAAGTGTTCTGTTGTTAGGGGAGGCAGAGTAATGTAAGTGTAGTCAGGCTTCTTTTAGCTCTGATTTATTTAGAGCAAATGCTGGGTGCAGAAATTAAGCATATGCAAGCTTGAAAATGGCCATGGACTGAAAGGTTTGGGAAGCCAAATTATATCCTAAAAGCTGTACTTCGTCGTGCAAGTGAAGAGCAACATTCAGTCAGCCTGGCTCTTATGATTTATGAAGGAGAAATCTGGAACAAAGTAACAGTGACTCAGAATTACTGGAACAGCTGTGCCAAGAGCTCTTGTGTAGGGACAGGACAGCTGACATGGACTGTAAAGCTGGAGGCTTATTTGAGGAAAATGAAGGAAAGAATGACTGCCTGCTCTGAAGGAAAGGCAAAGAAAAAGGCTTTCTGTGACCTGCAATTAAGTGGAAGGAAGGAGGCATAATTTAAAGTGTTTGTGGCTTGCAGGAGTTAAACTTAACTGTGGTCTGAGTTGACAGTCAAAGGAGTGTCCCAGTTCTTGTTCTCAGCTGCCAGTATAAAACCAAAGTGACCTGTTGGGTGACGTGAGCAGCAGTTGGTCGCTTTGGCACCACAGCAAATCTGGGCAGTTTTGCCAAGTTCCAGATTTATTTCTACAAATATGGTGATGTGGCCTGTTGTCGTGGGACCGTTCCCCACACCTGTGAAGATGCATTACTCAGTGTTTAAAATGTAAAGGTGAACTGTTCTCTTGCAGTTACATACCTGATGTAGTAACAATCTCAAGCTATCTCCGAGTTAGATGATCCTGGCATCTTCCAGCTGGAAAGTCCAAGCACAGTAATGTTGAGAGTTGCCCTCAGGAGTTTTCTACTGCTGTGGATTTACCTGCCCCATAATTTGTAACTCATTCTGTAAACGTTTTCCCTTATTTTTCATCTAAGAATGAGATTGGGTTTTTTCAGTCCACTTGAGGAGCAGGCTGATTAAATTTATGGAGTATCCAATGTTTTTCTCTGTGCCAAGAACTTGGACTTCATATGTTCTTAACTTTTGTTGTTGTTCCCTCTTGCTAATATTGACTCCAGCTGTTTAAAACAAGTACCTTTCAAACCTGTTCAGCAAGCAGCACTTGTGGATTTAATGAGTATCCTGACATGTGCAGTCAGATACTTTTTTCCAGGTGATGGAATTATTGTTGCAGGTGATGGATTGCACTTGTGTTTCTGCATTCACTGGTGTAGCTCGGAATCAAACTCAAGGTTGGAGCTGTAACTTCAGTGATACACTGAAGTTGGTCAAATCAGATGTTGATTTTGCTTAAGATGAGAGAGGTTTGGTTTTTTTTCCAACCTGAAGCTGATCTGTTTCTTCCCCCTTGGGAATTTTTTTGACACAGCTGGCACGAGCCACAGTGCGTGATCCCAAAACCGGCGTCCTTACAGTGGCAAGCTACAGGGTGTCTAAAAGGTAGGCACAGGGGAGGGTTTAGCTTGAAGGGTTTTGTGCTTAACAGCTCTCATCTGCTACCTGCAGCTGAAAACTTGAAGTGCTTTGCATGTAGCCAGAGCTTGCACAAGAAATGCATGGTGAATGGCACCGGGCTGAGGGCAGAGGGATGTGTCTGTCTGGGGAAATGGGTGGTTGTGATCAGCTACTCCAAAATGACCTTCAGTCCTTCCCTTATCCTAGCTCGTGGTTGGAGGAAGATGATGATCCTGTTGTGGCCAAAGTGAATCTAAGAATGCAGCAGATCACAGGGTTAACAGTGAAAACAGCTGAACTATTGCAGGTGGGTACACTTGTCCTGCTAAAATTAGCTGCTGGTCAGGGTGGTCTGGTGCTTATGCAGATAGAACCTTAGGCTGGATCTTACCCAGCCCCTCTCAGGGCTTCTCTTCTCTGCTGACTAAGCACACAGAGTAGTTAAGTGTTTATAATGTGTGGGGTGTGTCCAGCTGCTGCTAGCTGTAAGGACCTGGCACGTTCCCTCTGTGTGCCAGGCAGAGAAAGGTGCAGAAACCAAAGGTAACTTAGTGCAGCAGTCTGATTTACCAGTTTGTTTTGAGGGAAGTGCTGCCACTTATTTTCAGGTCTGCAAACAATGGCCCTTCTTTTTAGTTGAACCTTTCAAAGCCTCAAATATTTTTCATAGTCTTGTTATATTCCCATATGAAGTCTGATCTTTGGATATCTGTTGGGGAGAGCAAGGAGAGTAGGAGTGGTGCAGCCTGGTTTACTGCTGCTTCCTCCATGCTCCTTGAGTTCCTGATATGGAGCCTGGTTGCAATGGTGTTGGTTACACCCTGTCCACAGAAACCAGGTAATTGTGTGGTGATCTTGGAGGCATGGTAAGTGAAACCTCAGAATAACTAAATCATAAATTATGTGGTCTCCAGATAAAGTAAGCAAAGTGGTGCTTTTAAGCTGTTGTGAGTGTTCTGTGTTCCTGGGTGGGCACGTGTATGTAACAGATCACACGTGTGACACAATTTAATTTTGGGCTGTGTATCTCCTTGTTTGGGCACACATACTGGGTAATAAAGTGCATTCAGCTCCTTCCTCTTCAAAAAGAGCCAGAGTGTGATACAACTATTGCTGCTAATTCATGTTAAACAGCCTCTGCAGTGATAAGTAGAGTGCTGCTGTTGAGAAATGTTTGGTAATGAGAAATACTCTCAGTGAAACCCTTGAAACTACGAAAGCAAAAGAGCACTTAAGTTGTTTCTCATCCATGCACCTCCTTTCTGGCAATCAAAAGAAGCTGTGGGTGCTGTAGATAACCATCTTGCCATGAAGTGCCACTTCTCAAAGCATGTAGTTGGTCTCTGAGAGCAAATGTTGTCTTCTGCAGCAGGCACCTGCACTTGAGTGGATGCTCATGCTGCCTTCTTCTGTGCTGTAGGTTGCCAACTATGGAATGGGAGGCCAGTATGAGCCACACTTCGATTTTTCTAGGGTAAGATCACACTTTCAATTATTTCTTAGTGGTGTGGGGAGGGTTTGTGTTGAGAGAAAACTTTAAGCTATTTTCTGTGGAAAGACCTAATGCATAACCCTGTTGCATGGGGTGGAGTGTGACCTTGGCAGGGCTTTGCACGGCCGCCTCGGCTGCTGAAACTGCAGGAGAACAATGAACAAATCCGCCTGCTTATCTTTGTCCTGGTCCCTTGCACACTACAGAGACACTAAAAGCAAGTCATGCAGCACTCAAACCTGCTCTTTCCATTACTTTATTCAGAAGCTGAGGTCTGCAAGTCTGGGTTGTCAGTCTGCCTTGTTCCATTAGGCTTCAGAGTTCAGCAAGGTGGTCCAAGTCCTCCTTTGGTGGATATATTAAGTGCTTTGCAGGAGCTGGCTGTGCAGGAGATGTGCCTTTGCCAAAGAAGTCGTCGTTATGGAAACCTCCATGGGTCATGCAGCCCTTCTTGCAAAACCCTTGGTGTGGGTGCTGGGTCCTCACTGTGCACTAGAGGGCTCTACCTGGCAGATAACAGCTCTGGGTGAGCAGGAAAGATGAAGATGCTTATTTACCTAAAAACAGTTATGGTAATTGCAAATATAAAATCCATCTGCTGCCCTGGTTTCCAGTAGAATGAAGGCATTGCAATGGAATCTGGCTTCATGCAGGCTGTCCCAGTGGTTTTACCTGGTAGAAGGGATTGTTGCAGCCAGAGCACAACCTGATAATTGAGTGCTGAGTTGAAGCCACCCAACTAAGCACTATTTGCAAAAATAAAAATAAAGATTCCTAGCCTTCAGCACTGTGGGAGCTCATATTCCTTAGCTTTGGCCTGTTGAGAGAATTTTCCTGTTAACTTCAAGGCTGCTTCGTTTCCTGACTCAAGCAAATGCTCTTAAATTATCTTCAAAGCCTTTGAACTCAGGGACCTCAGCCATCAAATCGGCCAGTGTGGACTTCACTTTTGGATTAGGCAGCTGGGGCAGAGCTCCACTTGGAGCCTAACCTGGGCTCCATCAGCCATCAGCAAAGGCAAGGCAGGTGCAGGCTTTGCCATCATTTTGGACTGGTCCTCCAGGCTCTCTGTGCATCCCAGACTTCAGTATTGAAACACAGAGGCACTGCTGTGTCTCCTGATCAGCCTTGCAGCTTGTCGTTCTCCTGAGGTTCTCTAAGGGGGACTTTAACAGCTACATATTATAGCTGTGAGATGTTATTGTTTGCTCAAATGTTAGAGAAATGTTTTGCTATTGAAGTTTGGAAAAGTGTGGCTGGACCTGAGCTTGGCAGCAGTGGCAGAAACTGGGGAGTCCCCTGTACCTCTGCTCTTCTGTTGGCCCTTTTGGATTGAATTTGCATATGCAAGAGTCTTGGTTTTTTTGAACCCATTTCAGGAAAATCCTTTTATTTCTTAAAATACTCTTCAAGTAGATTGAACTGTATGTGACTGGTTTTCCTGCTGTTTGTCTTTTCTGGTAGTGATTTTTTTTTTCTTTACATGTTAAAGATGATTATCTCTGTATAGAGGAGGGTACCTTAATGTCTGCTGGCTGAAATGACTTCCTGACTAGTAGAAATGTAAATAAACTTAATTGCATTTTTTTTGAAGGGAGGAAAGACGTTGATATTCTAGATGTTCTTTCTACTTCTAAACTGGCACCAACGTGATCTCATACTTCAGCAAACGAAACTCAGTGTTTCTTACAGAGTAAAGATGATTTGATCTTTTTGATGTGGTCCTTAGTCCTAGAGAGGCAACCACCTGAAACTTCATTATCGCTACTCTGCAAATTTACCTGCTGGCTGAAGTTCCATTTTCTCTTCTCACGGCAGTATTTGAGTCACTACTACATTTAACTAGAACCTGGTGTTCTGTCCACAGCCCACTGAGGATGGGTTTTTCATACCCACCTTAGCTGTTGGCTTTGGGTCAGTGTTGAGTACAGCAATGGCCTGTTCAGCTGTGCTTGGGTAACATCTGTTCCACAGGCCCTGAAACCATCGCTTCTGCTCTGCCCTGGGGGCTGCCTGAGTGCTGCTGCTCCTTACAGCACCCGAGTGCTGTGCATGCACTTCTGCACAGCTGCTATTTGTAATGTTGCCCTGTGTCCATTGTCCCCTTTCTATCCCAAGTCTTGGAGTTGAGGATCTTTGCAGAGCGACGTGTGTGTGACTCCAGCGCGCGGTTGGAGCTGGGGTTAAAGTTGTTGTCTGTTGCAGCGCCCCTTTGACAGCACACTCAGATCGGAAGGAAATAGGCTAGCGACGTTTCTTAACTATGTAAGTACCTCGGTGTGCCTGCTGCCTGTGAGCCTGAAGTTTGCAGTTACTCTCATTTAATTTTATAGAAAGATGAGCCAGATGCTTTCAAGCGGTTAGGGACGGGGAATCGCGTGGCCACTTTTTTAAACTATGTAAGTATGATGCTCCTTTATGCGTTGAGTGTGACTTCAGCAGCATCTTGTTTACAGCTTGTGCAGTTGGTTATTTGTAGAGGTTCCCTGGCATCTGGAAGTAAGGATTTCATTACTTGCAGCATCAGGTGCTGTCCCATCTGAGTTGGTAGAATTCTGCTGGTACGTAAACCTCAGAGCAGGAAATTGGAATATGAGGCCCAGCTTCCCCTTTTGGCTACTGTGCTATGAAATCTTTTATTTCGTTGGATTCCAGTTGGTGGGAGAGGAGAATTTGGCTTATTACTCCAAGCACTCGCCTTGGATAACTCCTCACAGACTCCTTGTGTTTGGAAAAGACCTTTAAGACCACTGAGTCCACATGTGGTTTGCTGTTGGAGAATGTGACTACCAGCTACTTGCTGTGAGGCAGTCATCTTCTCCCACCCCTGTTTGACAGCACTTGATGTTGTGGTGTGTCAGTCTCCATTCTAGCTGTTTGTCAGAGCTGGGGTTACTCTAGCAGAGCTGTCACCTCAGCAAATGGAGGAGACGTAGCTGATAAACTCAGTCCAGCTGGGTTACAACTGGAGAACTGGGAAGACTGACCAGCTGCATGTGTTGTACCACCTACAGACCATGTACACTGGGATCAGAAGCAGAATTGCCACTGAGATGTGGTGGCCTCATGTTTTCACAGCAGTCTTTGATATTTTGTCAACCTGTACTTACTGTATCAGTAGTTAGGGTCACCTAATCTACTGTGTCTAACTTTTGAGTCATACACCTTCAAATTTGAAATTCTGTGATGAAATATTTATGGCTGAGCTCGTATTTTGAGTGTGAAATGCAGCTCAAAACAGAACCTGAAACAGTTTCAACTTGATGGGGCCGGGCTTGAAATAATTTCTGAAACAAGAATCAGAACAAGTAGCTGTGAACTAGTCTGCTGTTCAGAGGCTTTAATTTTAAATTGTCTGTATTCTGTTTGCTTCTCAGACTTTTGGGTGAGCCTTGATTTAGAGTGAATGATAAGCACTTTATTCTCTGCCAGCTGTACGTGGTCAAAGGTGATTTGCCCCCGTATGTCCCATGTAGAAGACACCACACACTTACCAACACCCTTACTAAAAAGAGTGGTTGTGTTGCTGAGACGTAGGCATTAACTTGCAAAGCTGCATGCACGTGCTTTCTAGTTGGAAGGGGCAAAAACCTGTGCATCTATGGCATCTTATGCCCTTTTATTGTAGGTACCAAGCAGGAGGACACCTGAGTGGTAATAACATCTGCTTTAAACAGAAATCCAAGTTACAACAGAGAATGTGGGGAATTGGGGAGCGTGTTAATAGTAGTTCTGTTTACATTTGGTGGGAACTGGATCTGACTAATTTGTTTCCTTTCATTAGAATCTGATCAAAACCTCACTAAAATCAATGGAGATACTTTCTATTTTAATGGGAGTGTTTCCAGGAACTTTGGTGGGGTTTGGATCAAATCTAGAATTCATAGTGAATCCATTGCTACTGATTAATTCAGTAGGGTTAAATTCATCCCAGTGTGGAAGGGCAAAGCATAAAGATAGGTGTTTTAGAATCACATAGATGTGTGTGTTAAAGCTTGAGATGCATAAAGCACTTGGCATAACATCACTGGTGAGCAGCATAGAAACAGTGCAGAAAGGGAGGTTTTCTAATAGCTTGTGGAGCTTTTGAAGTGGTTGACCAAGATGCAGAAAATAAATCACAAAAATGAGTTCCAAAGGCATGGTTTCAATTTATGAGGAAACATGTGGTTTAACAGACAGTTGTTTTCCTAATTGGATCATGAACTGGAATGAAATTCTTGAAACTGACTTACTCTGAATCCTCTCCCCTGTTTTCAGAGTGCAAGTTTATTAACACTGCAGGCACACAACTTCTCAGGGCTAATTGTTGGTGTAACAGGTGATACAGAATCTAGACCAAGTGCTGAATAAAAACCTTCAGCTGAAATAAAAGCCTTCAATAGCAGGTGCTGTTATTTTGCAGTTCATGCTGGTTGAAGTGCATCCCTTCCTCACCAGGGCCTCTCCTGGAGGTGCCAGTAGGAATCCCTCTCTGCTCAGGGCTTGGGGCACTTTTACTTGTGGGGCTGCACGTACACAAATCATTGTAAATGGACAGAGTTCCTGGGCTTTGTTTTCTCAGATGAGTGATGTAGAAGCTGGAGGAGCTACAGTTTTCCCAGATTTTGGGGCAGCAATATGGCCCAAGAAGGTAAAGTCTGTTTGTGTTTCGCTTGATTTCTCCTCTCTGCTGTTACCGTCTCTCCCTCAGTACAGCCCTGTGCACATTTAAAAGTCAGTGTGACAAAGTGCCATGTTTTGCAGCTTGTGGGACAGGCTGCTGTGTATCAAGCAGCTGTAGCTGACCTTGCAGTCTGCAGGGCTGCTCCCTTTTTTGCAGTGTAGAATGTGAACAGTTTCTGTGTAGAGCAAGGAAACGTGTTCAGGTAGAACTGCCCTCTACTCAGAGCATGGGTGAGCTAAGAGTGGGATGAAGGGGTTTAAAAGTGCTTCTACAAGCCTGCAGCTGAATTCATAGGCATTTCCCTCCCCTTTCCTGTAACCTGAATCATTGTATTGCCTAAGGTCTGACTAATCCAGCTCTGATGTCCCTTTTCAGGGAACAGCAGTGTTTTGGTACAACCTTTTCAGAAGCGGAGAAGGTGACTATAGAACCAGGCACGCGGCTTGTCCAGTGCTAGTAGGGTGTAAATGGGGTAAGTAACTCTTCAGGAACCAAACCAGAACACACCTGCTCATGTCCGTGCAAAGCTGGTGATACCCTGAACTCTTACAATGGCATTTCATAACCTGAGTGTTTCCATTTCAACTGCTGGAGTTAATTTGCCTTAATGAAAATCCCCATCATCAATATCACTTAGTATTAAGCAGCTGCCCTGCTCAGCTGCAGCTTTTCTGGTGAGTTTGTTTTGTGTCAGTGACAGCACAAAGTGTGTGAGAATGTCACTGGGTTTGTGTAGTAGAACTGTGCCATTGGAAGGCTCCTTTCTTCCTCAGGCCTGTGCAACCTCCTGTGTCTTTCCCATGGGATGGGTAGAGATGTATAAGCAGGGATCCTCAGACTGGGATGAGGTTTTACTTGAAGTAACAGTCTGGGTTCTGGGGATACACACACTGGGTACATGGTGGTAACTGGTTTCATATTCTTCTTCCACAGTTTCAAACAAATGGTTTCACGAAAGAGGAAATGAATTCTTGAGACCTTGTGGGAGAACAGAGGTTGACTGAAGCCCAGCCTGCTGCAGGCCTTTGTTTCTTTGTCTTCTTTTCTACTGTTGGTTCTTCCAGTTCATTTCTAAGAAATGATCCATCTCTTTCTCCAAGAGTCCTGGCACTTTTCCGAAAAAGGACAACAAAATCTGTAACACCTGTGAAAGAAAGTAAATGGCATTGCACACTTACTTGTGTTTTGGTTGCTGTTATTTCCACGTTCCCCCCCCTACCTGCCTGAGCTGCCTCCAGCCCTCCCAGCTCTCTCTGTCATAGTGGTGCAAACAGCACTGTGAGTTTGTTTGGGTGCCTGGTCTTGTGCCTTTTGTACCTCAGAAGTTTTAGGTGTTAAATATTTCTTTGAACCAAAGCTCTTTGTTTGTTGTTTTGTTTTGTTTTTTACAAGTTGTGTGTACATGTTGTTTTTATTGTATTTCTACAGATCACAAGTTTTGAAACAAAAATAAATGTTCTTTCCATAAAGTGATTCTCTAGTGTGTCCTTACAGGTGTCCCAGTGCTTGGTGTTGGGGGGCAATGGGCCTTTTTCCTTTATCTCTTGCAGTGTTGCCCTTTTTCTATAGCAAATAAGTCATGGTTTTAGATGGTGTTTTATTTAAGGCTCCAGCACATAACAACTGTTGCACCTTCTACTGCAGCTGGAACATCTAATCAGTGCATTGAAACTGTAATGTATCCTTATGAGAAGCTTTTCCCTGTGGTGGCACCTCTTCCCTGGAGGGATACTGTCTATTTTGGATGTAAGCAGTTGCAAAGTCTGAAGACTTTCAAGACTTTGTCATCAGTCTTGGCAATTCTTGATTCTGAAAGTACCTTTTGGGAATATGGAAATGGTTATACAGCCAGAAGTTGTACATTTATTGTATTGCTGATAAAGCAAAGAGACTTAGTAACGTATATTCAGCTGGTCCTGAATTCTACATGTGAAGGAATTTATGAAATTCATGGTTATTGCTTTGTTTTGTTATTTAGATGCAGAACTTAACTACTGCAGTGTGGTCACTGAAGTTTTAATTTTTCAGTTCAACATTCACAACTGGTTGAAGAGAGAGGGTCTTGGGCTGCCCAGGCAGAGACTCGTTGAGCTCCAGTTAAGGATTCTGAAATGAGAGAAGCATCTAGACCCATGAATAAGCTTTATGGGAGCAGTTAGAGCAGGTAGCTGTAGGAATTGCAAGATTTTTTTCCTAAAAAGTTGGAATGGCCCAGCACAGCATAGCTTGATAGTTGCTCTCTGATCTCTCTCAGCACTTCTCTTGCCATGAATGTTGTGGTTGTTGGCTGGCTGCTCAGAATATTTCATTGTTGACCTCTGGTTTTCTTAGTAAAATCTCTCAGCACAATGTAAACTTTGGAAATAAGGAATTTTGCTTTGTAACAAGGCATTCAATGTGTGACAGCCTCACAGATGTGAGGAGGAACTGATGATGAGCCAAAGCCATGATCTCTTGTAGGAACAATCTGGATTTCAGGGGGAGGAAGAGGAATCTACTTAGACTTTGTCAACGTGGTATGTTGACAGATAAAGTTCACATCAGGGCTTTGGCCAGAAACTTGTACGTCCCACTTCTGAAACTGTGTAGCTGGCAGGCAAATACCACTGTTAACTCTGTCATACTGAACTTTAAAAGCTATTTTCACTTGCTTGTTTACTCTGGGAAAAACTCTGTCCTGTTCTGAGAGTTCCCTTCCACCTTGCTTCAGTCTGTCCGTGAGGCAGGATGTGGTGTGGATGCAGAACTGCTGGAATGCTGAGCTGCTTGTGCTGTGTGCAGGGTTTGCTTCCTGCTCACCTGATCAGAAGAGTAAGAGCTGCTTTGGAGCAGAGAGCATGTGACTGGTGGGCAGCCTGTGCAGTCTGGCAGGTGCTATTCCCTGTTCTGTCTCCTCTCATTCTAGAACGTGAACAGAATACAACAATTAGCCTGAAATTCAGCCTTAGGGGTAATTTTTAGACTTAAAAGGGAGAAGACTGATATGCTGGAACAAGCCTACCTCCATGTAGGCATAGGGAGCTTCTACCAGTGTGTCACTGGTATATGACAAGTACTGAAGTTTTCTTTAGGCTGAAATGGGTTTTCTCCTGACATTCTGCTGACTCTTCTTTATTCCACAGGGTTTAAGTACTTAGTGCAGATATTTATACATATTGCAAAGACCTGCTGTGGACAAGTGGCTGCCAGATGCTCTGAGTGCTTTGGGACCTTCCAGAGAGGTCTGCAGGTCACGTCTCCTGGAGTTAAACTTGGTGATGTGGTTTCAGGGCTCTGCCCCGTGTTACAAGTTCTGATGAACTCAGACGCCATCTGAACTCTCATGGAAAGATGGTCTCTTATCTTGGCTTTTCTATTCATAAGAAGAACAACCACCCCAGCCCCTGCCAGGAATCCACATCCAATTTGAGCCTGTGGTTTCTTAACCCTTGCCCTGAATGCTGCCTAGTGCTGTGCAGTTCTGCAGCCCTCCAGCTGGGTCAGGAAATCACCTCCAGCACTTGGGTTCAGCTGCCTGGGCTCAGGGAAGGACTTACCTCCTTTTCTGCATGAGAAGTTACTTCTCTTTCCTGTTACAGTGGAAAAACTCATGAAAATCATCTGTCTAACCACCTTAGAGAGCAAAACTGGCATCCAGGCTAAGCTGTGTTGTGTGGTGAGTGGAGAAGGGGTTTGGCTGTGCTGGACAAGCCTGTGCAAGGGCATCCCTGGGCTCTTCTGCTCTGGGAGCCCCAGTTTATGTTGCACAGGTGAGTTTGGTTGCTCAGGTGAGCTATAAAATCCCTAATGCAGGAAGGGGAAGGGTCTTTTTGTTCAGTGATGCCAAGTTTTGTTTGAGGATTGTGTGTGTGTAAAAGGCAGCCTGGGCACCACGTTCCTGTGTTTTCCTGCTGTGTGTGAAGCACATGAAAGGTAAGTAACAAAAGTGAGGGTTTTCACAGTGATTGCAGGGTTGATGCTGGATGTCTTGGACTACCTAAGGGCACGAGGCCAACCCCAGTGTTTGCATGTACCCTGTGGGATGCTCATGCAGGTGAGAGGACTCTCCCCTACCCTCTGCAGTGCCCCTTGGCACCTTGCAGGAAAGCTGGGCAGTCTGCACCCCCTAGTTCACCTCTCCTTAGTGGTTTGCATGCAACATCACTTCAAAGATGAGCTTTGATTGCAAAGCCCTGGAAGAAACAGCTTCCCAGGTCTTCTCCAGCTTCTGATACTGCCTGTGGCTCAAGCATGTGCTTCAGGGTGTTTCTTTTGAAATTCCTAATCAGGCCTTGAAAGAAAGTCAAGGATAAAACTGAGCTGCTCACTTTGTGTTAAGCGTCAACTGGGTCAAAAATCACTAGACAGGTGAAATTTTTTCTTCAAATTCAGTTTTCCCCAATGCTCCAAGGGCTCCCAACTGTATCAGCAGCTAACATGGGAAGTCACGAGCCTGGTGACCCTGAGGTCTCATCAGGTGTGTAAGCAGAGCATGAACCAGCACCCAGCTCTTTGGTGGGAGGGAAGGAGCTGGGAGCAGTTTCAGTTTCCAGCTGCTGGGGCAGGTGGGCAGGAGCAGGGATGTAGTGGCTGTAGGATGGAGGGGGGCAGCCCCACAGCTCACATCTGATCAAAGCCCATGGTCTGCTCTGCTGTGAATTTCCATGCAGCCCAGATCCCAAACCTCAAGCTGCTTAGGGCTGTTTGCTGGCTAATGGGAGTGTGGGTGAAGATGTTTTGTAACCATGTTGTTTTGGGCTGGAATTGCACTTTCTCAGGTGTTGTGGATCAAGATGTGGGCTGGGACTGGCAGACCTGAAAGTGCCCTCAGCATGACCCCAGGTGTTTCTGACTGCTTGCTTGTTGCACATGTGAGTAGTGTTTATTAAATGATCCTATTTTTCCTTCTGTCACCTGACAATGATTAAGTGCTGCCCCTTTTTCGTGCTGCCCTAAGGAATGAGCTTCAGCTGGAGGCAAATCTAGTAGGTGGCACCTCTTTAATGCCAGGCTGGGAGGTGGTTTCTCCTTCAACACTTGCTGCATCAGGCCCTTACCTGCAAAATACAGTCTGGATTCAAAGATGCCTTTTAGCCTTGTCCTTCAGTTTGAAGATGAGAGCCCTGCAGCACCTGATGGTGAGGTACTATTACGTTATATAGGAGTGAGCTGGGTGAACACCAATGGCCCCTGGTGTGGTTGCTGATCTTTGAGGGCCTCAGAGCCCTTTATCATTCCTTGCAGCTGCAGAGGATATTGCTGCCAGTGTCCATAGTCTGTGCCTGCAAAGATGATGGAAGACTGGATGTCTCATGTTGCACATCCAGACTTCCAGAGAAGCAGACCTGACAAGACCTGGTGAACTTTCTGAGCCTGCTCAGCTGGAGTGGAGTGACCCACACAGCTGTGGTCTCCTGAGGTTCAGCAATCCTCTACCCATGTCCAGTTGTAGACTGGGACAGGGTCTCCAAGTGACTCCTCACCTGGAGGAGGAGCCGGGGTAGTGGCTGACCATGGCTCCTTCCCCATCTTCTGGAGGAGATGAGCAGGGCCTGTGGCACTGCTTGTCTCTTTGGCTGTGGAGTAGTTGTATGTGACTTTGCTTGAGTGTGGCAGCCACACTCAGCTGGTGACCATCACCCTCTGGCCCCCAGGGCACCCCTGAGCCCCCTGCAGAGCCTGTGGCCTCAGAGCTGCACCTTGGCTGTGCTGGCAAGGAGGTCTGTCCCTGGCCCTGTGCAGGAGATGCACATGGAGCGAAGCAAAAACATCTCTGCTTTCTTCTCAATTGAGGGCAAACAAGTGCAAGGTCTCTGACTCAGTGATGTCTATGAATCTGTAAGCCCCAATCCCACGTGTGGCCTTAGGCTGTCACTTCCTAGCAAGTGTTAAGTTATTAATGCTCCCTGGTCTCACTTTGTGCCCACACATGTATTTTTGGTGGGAGAAATACTGCAAAATGTGCAGCGTACCTGGGAGGGAGGGGGTGGCAGCTCTGCAAGCCCTGCCATGGGGATGTCACCCTGCCATGGGGATGTCACCCTGCCATGGGGATGTCACCCTGCCAACAAAGAGCCACCTCTGGCTCTTGCAGGTGCCTCCCTGAGCATGCCAGGGTTTCATCTGCTCCCAGCACAGCTTGCCCCAGTTCCTCCAGCAGCTGGGAACACTCTTCCTCTGGAGGAGCAGGTCACAGTTGTACCTGAGCATCTGGTTTTGAATATTCCTTCCCAGCAGAGCTGTGGAGGTTGCCCTGTGGGAAGGCAGCTGCCCCCTCAGCACCCCCCG